AGGGCACCGTGTCCCTGAGGACACGGCTTCCGGGGGAGGTGGAATTGGTGTGATGCGGCAGCAGCAGTGGTCGCACCCCCCTCCCACACACACACTCCCTGCCGTGACAGGGGCCACGGGGCAGCTAAGTGCAGCAGAACAAGTGCCTCCACCCAGTGCGCTCCACTCCCCCCGCAGCTCCTGCCGCCATGAGGAGTGGGAGGAGGGGCGACTGCTGCTGCCACATCGCACCAGCCCTTCCCCCCAGTGATCCCCAAAGCCACGTCCTCCGGGACAAGGTACCATGGGGAGGAGAGGATGGGTCAGTGACAGGAAGGGGCAGGCCTTGGGGCCTGGTAACAGACAGTCCCTGGGATGGCCTGTGGGCCAGGAGTTTGAGACCCCCAGCCCTGGAGCTTTCAGGGGAAAAGATCCCAAGTTCCCGCTGCGAGTAACACAGCCTGGCAGCAGCATGACTTCTGGGCTCCACTCCGGGGACTTCCTGAAGAGCAAAGAATTAAGCAGAATGTTCCTGCCTCTTGCTCTTGGGCCCTTTCCTCGATTTCTCCCCAGGCCTGCGCTGTATCCGCCCCCTGCTGGCTGTGAGGGGGAAGGCAGGCAAGAGAAGGCAGTGGGGAGGTGCTGGTTTTAAAATGCATCCGTGTGCCATCCACAGGGCGCCTTCCCGGCTCGGGGGACTTCCTGAAGAGCAAAGAATTAAGCAGAATGTTCCTGCCTCTTGCTCTTGGGCCCTTTCCTCGATTTCTCCCCAGGCCTGCGCTGTATCCGCCCCCTGCTGGCTGTGAGGGGGAAGGCAGGCAAGAGAAGGCAGTGGGGAGGTGCTGGTTTTAAAATGCATCCGTGTGCCATCCACAGGGCGCCTTCCCGGCTCGTCTGAAAAGAGTGAAAAGTGGGCCGGGGCGCAGGCGGTATTGGCCTGTGGAGAAAAGCTGTGAATTAGAGTCCCTTCCATGGGGACATCTCCATAACCAGGCTGCGTCGTGCAGGGAGATGGGGAGGCACAGCCTGATGCATGATAGAGCCTCTTCTGCAGCCCTTTTCAGAGCACATTGGCCAGCGTGTTGCAGTGACGGCAGCTGGAGCAGGCAGCTGGAGCAGGCACCTGGCAGGCAGGCTGCAGTGTTGCTAAAGAAGCAGGAGGCTGTTGTGTAAAGCCTCCACCTGAGCTACTCGATTTCCACGTACATTTTCTGGAAATGCCTTCTATTGTAAAGGTCCTGCCAACATGTGACTTAAGAGACTGACAAAAACCTGCTGTGATCAGTGTTTGGGGGGGGGGAGTTGTCTAAGTCACTTCATTACTGATGATTAGAAGTTGCTTACGATAGGAATTGTTCTCAGTGGCTGTGCTTTGGATGGGATCTTTGTCACTGTTGAGCTTGGGAGCTTTGCGATGGTTTCTTTGTAACTTTCAGCTGCTTTGCCTTTGAAGTTCTGCAACTTGTTGTAAGAGTGGAGACAGAGCTTTGCACCTTCCTAATCTTTGTAACATTCAGCCACTTTGCTTTTTAAGTTCTGTAGCTTACTGTAAGCTACATTCCATCCAGCGATAAGGGAGAGCTGGGTAGGTGATGAGAGAGAGAGAGAGAGTGTGAATGGTAACTGGAGCATAAATGGGCAAGGAAAACAGCAGGCTAAAAACATGGAGCCAGGAGCCAAGGAATGACTAATTTGAGCAATCCCAGTGACATTGCTGCTCTAAGCAAACAAAGGACTGTGAGGTCTGGCAGGCTCCTTGGTGATGGACATGGAGGAAGGACCCTGTGTGAGTGACAGGGTACGCCCAATAAAAGGAGAGAGCACATGTGAGAAGCCCTCTTTATGATCAGCTCTCCATGCCTGCAGGCAGGCACTCTGGACCCGCTATGCCTTGGCTTTCTCTCTCTCTTCCTGCAACCCTTTGCCTGAATAAGTGTGTTGAGTGCCTGAGGGTGCGTGCGTGTGTGTGTTCCCTCTAAGATTTTCCATCCTTGGGCAGGTTGAATTTTTTTGGAGGGGGCGGGTTGAAATTTGTTTTGTGCAACTCCAATTTCGAGGTAGTGTGTGGCTGTGTACTCACCCATGCAAACAAAACCATAGATATAAATATGTATTTTAAATAGTTCATAGGTGTGGAAGAAAATATATTCAAACAAGGGATAAATAATAAGGAGCAAAGCTTATGATGATTTTCTTTTTATTTGATTCCATATTAATTAAATACTACCCTGGACTACCCTGGACTGAAGAAGTGGATTGCGCCCAGGAAAGCTCATGATACTATTTATGTATTTTGTTAGCCTAAAGTAAGGACGTTACATTTCGATTAATCAGCTAATTGAATAGTCGATGTAATTTGCTTCGACTATTTGATTGGTCGATAAGGGCACCTCTACCGTTGAAATGTAGCAAGAACCCTGCTGGCTTTTGCTACCTTTCAAAGGTGGAAGCACTGCAAGGAGCACGGGGTCAGCAGAGACTCAAGCAGTCACCCGCTGGCCCCATGCTCCCTGCTGCGCTGCTGCTCTTGAAGGTGGAAGAGTGGGAAGAGTAACCAGTTCTCCACTGCGCCCCTCTCCCATGGAGACAGTGCTGGGGAGAACCAGTTTTTAAGCTAGCTTCCCCCCAGTACCAGCTTCTGCCGCCCCTCCCTCCCCTCCCACCTTGTTACCTCTATCTGTTGAGGGGGGGGGAAAGGAACTGACCGGGGACGAGAAAAAAAAAAAAAGCAGCAAAACTTGGGTGGGCGGAGATTGATGAGGGGGGCTGGGTCGCCTCGAACCCCCCTGGAATTTCTTCACGCCCCACAGGGGGGCACGCCCTCCAGTTTGGGAACCCATGATCTAGGGTCTGAAACCATTTCTTTCCTTTTGGAAAATACGGACGGTTTTATCAACAAACAAGCTTGTATTCAGACCTGAAACCAGGCAGCATTTCTCGGGAAAGGACTCAGAGTGGTGGGTCTTTGTCCGGCCCCCAAAGTGTGCGATGCTGTATAGATAAAGTCCATGCCTTGGAAGAGCCCTTTTAGATATCGAGCACAATGACGGTCGATCACAGTGGGAATTTGTGTTTTGAAACCAAAGAGGATGTATCACGTGCAGCCATGTCAATATCCTTAATTTGCTTCCGATGGAACCATTTCCTTGGAATTTAATGCTCCCCAGGCCCTATAATGGCACTTGCCCTCTCCCCTCTGTCTGACTAGAGCAGGAGACTTGTGTGAAAAACTCCCTTCTGAAGTGTGGGCTCTTCCCCAGTCCTCACAAACCAGCTGTGTAGTTGTGGATAGGGTTGCCAGATGGTCTTCCAAAAATGCAGAACACATGGGCTAAACCTTTGTCAAGGGGGGGAAAAAACCCACCCACACCGAACACACCTCCTGTGTGGCTACTACCAAGAGCCACCAAGCTGGGAACAAAGGGCCTGCTACCCAAAGCAGAGAGAGGCAGACCCTGGGGCAACAAACGGCAGGGCGGGGTGGCAGGGGCGACCATGGGTAGGAAAGCGACTCCCCCATAGTCAGGTCTTTGGGCGTCCCAGTGGGAAGAAGCAGAAATTCCACCCTGAGAGCCCCGGAAGGCGCCTAAACGCAACTACAAAGCACCTGCGGGCTTCTCTCCTGAGCTACGGCACCACAACGCGCTTGAACAGCGCCCAGGAGCAGGGACAGGGCTTCTCCTCCTCTCCACTCCTACGTCAGACGCAATCAGCTGAGGGCTCCCAGCGCCGATGGATCGCGGCCCCGCCTCCCAGTCGCTCCCCCCGCCCTCGTTTCCATTCCGCGCCCAGCCAGAAAACACCAGACATTGCACGTGTCTGGTATTTTCTGAATTTTTTTACCAGAGGGCACAAAAACCGGACTGTCCGGTAGAATACCGGACCCCTGGAAAGGGATCTAGCTGCTGCACTCTGGCCTGTTCTGACCCTGTTCTGTGTTCTACTCCAGCAGAGGGAAGGCAGGCGCCCCCTGCTGGAGGTTGTCAGAACAGCACCGTTCGCTGAGAACAGCTTTCTAAGCAAGGGAAGGGACCCTTTTGTGAGGAGTTTTCCAGGCCCTGTAATGACCTCAGGAGCTGGAAACTGATCAGTTGGCTTCACAGCCGTAGCCAGGCAGATTCCATCCCCTCCTCGGTGTCCGCTGTCTCAAGCAAGCCTGCGTCAAGTCCATGCTTGGTGTGTGTTTCACCCCCTCCCATCTCGTTCTGCTCCCCCAGGTTCAGATGGTGAAGATGTCGGAGCTGAAGGAACACCTGCCCCGGGAGTGTCTCCCCGAATACCTAGGGGGATCCCTCAAGCTAGACCCTCTCAGCTGGAACTGCCGCTTCCTCCCCCAGCAGAATGGCCACCCAGACCCGTTGGATGAGCTGATCCTGGTGCCGCTGGTTGCCCCGCGAGATAACGGCTCGGTGCACATCCCAGGACCAAAGTGCATGACTGTCCATCAGCTGTTGGACCACGTGACCCGAAAGCAGAAGCGGGGGATCTACGAGGAGTATGAGGATATCCGGCGCCGGAGTCCGGCAGGGACCTTCAGCTGCTCCTTGTGAGTGTCAAGGAAAGGGGCTGTCCAGAAGGGAGCCCCACAGGCCCTCTTTCTATGAGGAAGCTGCTTCCTTTCTTGGCATCCTGTGGGGGCTCCTCCGTGGAGCGGTAGCAGGTCTGCCTCAGACTCTCTCCTCGCGTGGCAGGCTCAGCAGTGGGGCACGTGGGGTGGAGGGATGGTTTGATAGCAGCAGTCAGGATTACAAAAGGATTCCTAAGACCAGGGTGCATTTACTTTGCATGTGTCCACCACTCCCTGGCCTCACAAGGGGGGAGTAAACCTCTGCTCTGCACCCAAGCCAGCCCCTTTCTTTATGGCCATGTGAAGCAGCAGCTGAGGGGGCGGCAGGGCCCCCAGCTAAGAAGGCCGCAGTTCATCTGTGGGTACCAATCAGGTGCATTGTCCTGCCTGCTCTGTGCTCCACAGGGCTCCGTATAACCAGGAGAAGAACCGATATGGGGACGTGCCGTGCCTGGACCAAACTCGTGTGAAGCTGACCAAGCAGCACAGCCGCTCGGAGGTAAGCAGGCAGAGGCAGCTGTGCCTGACTCTCAGCCGTCTGGACGGTCCTCCCCTTCCCCCCCTCGTTCCTGAGCAGCAGTTGCACGCTGGACATGCCTGTGTGCTAGGAGAGCGGTTTCCTAGCTGGGGTGGCGTGAGAGGGGCCTGGCCCGGTGTTCTGAAAGCACCGCTTATGAATGGGAGTGTGGGGGGGCTTCTTTTTCCTGGGGACCCCTCTCTCCAGCCCAGAGACCCAGCCCGTCCCCCGCTTCTGGCCTTCACCTGCTCCTCCACATCAGGGTGTCTCCGGGGCAGCAGGGCTCTGGAGGGTGGGACCCTGAGGTGCTTTGAGACCAGGTTCCCGGGGGGGCTGGCAAGTCTCTCCTCTTGCTGTTCCCGCCTCCCACCAGAGGAACGTCCTCTGGTCCTGCCTCAGCTCCCCAGGTCCCTCCACCTCCCACACTGCAGTCAGGGCAAAGGCAAACCCGCAGGCCGGTGTGGCTGGCAGCAAAAGGCCTCCCTCAGCGTAGGGGGGAAATCATTTGAAAAGGTAGCCATGTAACCACAGTTCCCGCTAAGGGGTGTGCCTGCGCGGCTGTGCACAAAAAAGTCTTCCCCACCTCCTCTGGAGAGCCGCGTGGCAGGCAGCTGCTCCGCTGGGCGGGGCCGGCTGAGACAGCGTGGTGAGGGAGCCACTGTGGTGGGGCCAGGGGAGTGGGAGGGGGGGCCGGTCTCGGGGGATCGGGGGGAGGGGGGGTTCTGCTCCGGCAGCTGGGAACGTGTGTGTGTTAATAAATTGAGAGCCACAGTGGCACACGTCCAAACCAGCGCATGTGACCTCGATATTGGGGCACAAGCCAAAACTCGCTCTGCTCATGGTTGGAAAATCGTCGAGGGAACCCTGCGTGTCACCTCCAAAAATCTTAGTGGCTACATGGTTACATGAGCTGTGGGGCGCTCTAGGATAAAGCTTAGCTTAGCTTTATGCTACAGAGCCTGCAGCAAAGCCTCCCCATAGCATGGCCACCAGCCCTGCTGGCCCCATTCCCAGGGAGCCACAGCATGTAACTTGTGGTTGCCCGGGGCCGGGCCCACCACAGACAGGGCCTGCTGTGGCCAGAGGGCTGGAGCAGCCCCTGTCTGCAGTGGGCCCTGTGGGGCTGGAGCAAGCAGGGAACTGCTCCCGCCCCAGTCAGTGAACCGGAACTGGTGAAGGATGGGACTTACCAGTTAGCCTATTACATCCCTACCCATGGCACCAGCCTGTGGGGTGTTGAATATGTCAGACCCGCATCTCCCACTTGGCAGCGCTGCCCTGTGCTTCAGCCACAGTGCGGCTCCTCCTCACCCCTCCGCTGGAAACACCAGCACGGGTGACGGCGGTAGCGGAGCGTTCCTGGCCGGAGCTGTGCTGGCTGAGGGGCACCCCACGTGACCTGGCCCTGCTAGGGGTGACCAGAAAGGGGAACCCCCATCCCACGCTGCAGATGAGTTCCCAACCTGCTTTCGCACTCAAGAATGTAGCTTCTTAACTGGAAGAGCTGCGTCTTCAGCTGGTATAAATCTGTCTCGCGCCATTGACTTCAGTGAGCTTGTCCTGATTTACACCTGCCCAGCGTCTGGCTTGACATATTAGCTTCTCCTCGGAAAGGACTGTGGGAACTCCTCCGCCCGGCATCACGTCGGGCCCGGGCAGCCGGCCAGCGTCTCGTGCCAGCTGGAAGCTCCCAAATGCCCGTTCCAACTCTCCCTTGTCGCTCCTGGCATGCGTGCTCTGGGCGAGAGATGCCGCCCGTCTCGGAGGATGTGGGGAGTGCTGAGCAGAGCCCAGTGTGCCGGGCAGCTACTCAGGCTGCAGCCTAGAGAGATCCAAACCTGACTGTAGCACACAGGAAACTTCAGAGCCACTGTGGCTGCGGGAACGTGCGGCCGAAAATAGCTAGCAGGAGCCCCTGCTTTGTCCATCTGCCCAAGCTGGAGTCTGGGGGCACCTCTCCCGGAAGGGTCGATTATGATAGTCGCCCCTAAATCCCTGAGGGTATGTCTACACTACCACCCTAGTTCGAACGAGGGTGGTAATGTAGGCAACCGGAGTTGCAAATGAAGCCCGGGATTTGAATTTCCCGGGCTTCATTGCATATTGCCGGGCGCCGCCATTTTTAAATGTCTGCTAGTGCGGACTCCGTGCCCGCGGCTACATGCGGCACGGACTAGGTAGTAATGAGGAGTAACGGTAGTTCGGAGTAGGAAGCCTACGGAGTCTGCACTAACGGACATTTAAAAATGGCGGCACCCGGCGCGATGGAAATGGCAACTCCGGTTGCCTACATTAACCACCCTAGTTCGAACTAGGGGGCTAGTGTAGACATACCCTCAGGGATGGGGCTTCGGGCTCTGCTTTGGGGTGTTAGTCAGGTCTTCAGTGGCATCCTCTCTCCCTGCTGGGGAGGAGCAGGCGCATGTGGAAGCCAGAAGCAGAGGCTGGGCGGGTCTCTGGGCTGGAGAGAAGCGCCATGCCAGAAGAGGATCTTTCGGGTTCATTCAGCTTCCCGCATGTCCGCGCTTTTTGTGGAAGGGAACGGAATGGAGAGGGCCCAGCCCTCTGCGTCCCTCTCTGCGCGGAGAGGCAGCAGGGCAGCAGGAGGTTATTTGGAGGCTCTGGTCTGAATCCAGTCGGGTCCGACCGTTTCTCTTCCCTGCCGAGTTTGTCACTTACAAACACTTCCGGGGATCCGCATGGCTGGAGTTCCGCTCCGTCCTATTCCACTTCCTGCATGGAGTTGCTGTTTGATCTCTGGGTGCATTTCCCCTCCCCTGTGTCCCTCTGCTCCTGCCCCCCGGCTATCACTTGGAAATAGCAAAGTTTAACGTGGGGGGAGCGGATTGTAGGTCCTGTGGCACTGCCACCCCCAGGGTTGGCGGTGTCGCTGCCGCAAGCGGCATGGCCGGGCAATGGGCCGTGGAGCGGATTTAGTTTTAAAATAGGTCGGCATCAGGTGCAAACCTGAGCTCCCGCCTGCACGAGAGCTGGGCTGGAGGAGACACCGCAGAGCAGGGTCTGGGAACACCTAGTGTTTGTGTCTGTCCTCGCCTGTGTATGGGATACCCCTCTGTCACGCTGCAAATGGCTTTCCCCTGTCTCAGGCACCCCCCTCTGGTATGGTGTGGGGCGGCGCTCCGCGGGATAACAATTTGTGCAACTTTCCCCTTCGGCACAGGGGGGTGCGGCGCTCCGCGGGGTAACGATTTGTGCAATTTTCCCCTTCGGCACAGGGGGGTGCGGTGCTCCGCGGGGTAACGATTTGTGCACCTTCCCCCTCCGGCAAGGGGGGGTGCAGCGCTCCATGGGGTAACCGTTTTTGCGCCTTTCCCCCTCCAGCTGACGGACTACATCAATGCCAGCTTCATGGATGGCTACAAGCAGAGGAACGCTTACATTGGCACGCAAGGTAAGGCCCTGCTCTCCGTGATGCGGGGCCTGTCGGTGGGCAGCGTCAGGGCAGGGGGCCAGCCTGTCGCTGTTCATATGCGGCTCCTTGTGGCCCCCCTGAGGCGGGGAAGAGGGACTCTGGGCCCTGAGCCCCTGTGCTCACTAGAGCCTGGGAAGGGGGTGGGGCTGCGGTGGGGTGCCGGAGGGGCTCACTCGGAGGTGGGAGGGGAGGTGCACAGGGAAGGTGTCTCACTTACAGTCTCCTGGCCGATCCCCCGTCGCAGGGCGTGCCTGCAGAGAGCTTTCAGCAGCTGTCCCTAGAGATCCCCTCCACTTTCCTGGCCTTTCCTGACTGACTCACTGGGTTTCTCCATGAAGTTTTCTAGCCTCTGGATGCTGCCCCATCCTGGCCAACTGGGACCCCTGCTCGGGCACAGGGGAAATGGACCTGCCTCATTGACAGGGGCCACCCGCCACGTGGCACTGTCCATCCCTGATGCAGCAGTCTTTATTCCTGCTCCAGCCGGGTGTCTTCCAGCCGGGTGTGCTGGCTCTGTGGCAGTGGCTGTAATGTGGAGGGGGGAGAGAAGAAATCATACCAAGCATCCAGTCATTCATACATCCCACGGCAGCACTGGGCAGCGAGGAGCAGCGCTGGCATGTGCATATTGAGTTAAAACCCTTAGATGCTCCCCGTAGCGCCTCAGCGCCCCCCGGGATTTGATGAGGCCTCCCTAGGGGTCTGGTGTCCTTAGTAGGTGCTGACAGGCCACACACCCAGGGTCCAGGTGCTGCCTTCTTGGGTTGTTCCGGAGGCCGTGGCCACAGGTGATTGGCTGGTGCAGTTTGTGCATCCCTACCTTCCCTGGGATCCTGGATGAGAACTGATGTATCTAAGGCCTGGGCCCTTTCTCACCTGCGGTCTGTCACTTCAGGGCCGCTGGAGAACACGTACGGTGATTTCTGGCGCATGGTGTGGGAGCAAAACGTTCTGGTGATTGTCATGACAACCAGGTGAGTGCGTGCACAGAGAGCAGGGACCCTCTCAGCCTCTTGGATGAGACATAAGCCCCAAGGCCTGACCATGTGGAGATATTTAAGATCCTGCATCCCTTCGCACAGAATACCCATGATACCATCTGGTTTGGGTAATCATATTTGTTTCCTTAAACCTCATGGCCTGGGGCTTCAGTGTACAACACGGGCTGTGATATAGCTGGCTTTCTTCTTCACTTGGTGCCTGAAACTTGGTGGTGTGCACCATGAAAGCATCTGCCCAGGAAGTAGCTGCATTTTGATTGATGGCCCTAAGATTTATATGTATATCATGATTAAAAAGTTCACATGTGTATGTGTAAAGGTGTGGGTGTGCATGTGTATGCCTCTACAAAGTGCTAACCAAATTTCGATACACACGCACATGCAATAGAGTTTGTGTAGTAGTTGAGGACCCTGCTTCCCATTTCTGAAGCCTGTTTCTTTTGTGTACTTGGTCCAGTGGCTCAGCCTCTTTGTCGCGGTTTCCCCATTTGTAAAATCAGTCTCCTAACTACCTATCTGCCCCCATGGAGTTTTGAGACTCGATATTTGTGAAATGCGCTGAAGATGTGCAAAGTGTTATGATTATTCGAAGTGTGGGGGGTGATTTCGACAGTCTGGGGAATAGCCTAGATCGGTGGCTCTCAATTTTTTCCATATCTGAGATGGGTAGGAGGAGTGCAACCTCCTGAGGCTTGCTGGTTTCTGCCCTCCTCCCCCCAGTAAAAGCCCCTGATTGGTTATCTGCCCTGTCAGGGCTCATTGCATCCTATTTACACCTTGTTCAGGTTTGCGAGGTTCTCTCCACCACCGTTACAGCTGGAACCCTAATGTCTTTTTTTCAATGGAAAGGCAACAAAGGAAGAATAGTTGTGACCTCTGGTGTGCCCAGCACCAGGGGATGCTGTGAGTCACTGCTAACCCACACCGGAGTGTGGCCACCCCTCCTGCGGGGGGGACTCGCTCCCATCGCCCTATTCCCCGAGGGCAGCCTGAGGGCACGTGCAGGCCCGCCTCTGACCCAGCGGCCCTGCAGGGCGGTAGGTGACCAGGCCAGGATGGAGCCATCGCTTCAATACGCTTCAGGGAGAGGGCGATGAAGAACCCACCCGTCTCCCCACCCCTGTGCATTGCAGGCTTGAGGAGGGAGGCCGGAGGAAGTGTGGCCAGTACTGGCCGCTGGAGAAGGATTTCCGGGTGTGCTACGGATCCCTCACCGTCACCAACCTGGGGGTGGAGAATCTGAGCCATTACAAGAAAACCATCCTGGAGATCTGTACGGCTGAGGTAATGCCCCATCCCCGCCCTTTGCTGGAAAGGGGCCGGGGTCCGAGGGCTGGGTTGTGGGGGCCCATGGAGAGGAGCCGGCACAATGGATGAGCCTCAGCTGCCAGTGGAGAAGGGCTGCTCTGTGCCAGTGAACCCCAGCAACGCAGCGGGAGGGGCAGCACGGCCATGTGGGCCATGGGGGCTGGAGGCTGCCCCAGGCCCTTGCTCACTGAGGGACTCCTGGCTTGGTGAGAGGGCGCACCTGGGCTGTTGGGGGAGTGGAGTCCAGTGCTTGGGACTGTAGGCGGGGGAAGGAACCTTGGGGAATGCTGGATGGGGGTGGAGGAGCAGGAGGGGCACGAGGAGACGGACGGGGGCAGGTGGGGGTGGAGGGGAGAGACGCACAGAAGGAAGAGGGGCACGAGGGGATGGGCGAGGTGGGGGTGGAGGGGAGGGAGGAGCAGAAGGAAGAGGGGCACGAGGGGATGGGCGGGGTGGAGGGGGAGGAGAGGGAGGAGCAGAAGGAAGAGGGGCACGAGGGGACGGGCGGCGCC